GCACCGATATCTGTATGCACCGATATCTGTATGCACCGATATCTCTACGTTCCGATATCTCCACGCACCGATATCTGCACGCACCGATATCTCCACGCACCGATATATCCACGCACTGATATTTCCACGCACCGATATCTCTACGTTCCGATACCTCCACGCACCGATATCCCTGCGTCCCAACCTTTACGCACCGATATTTCCACGCACCGATATCTCCACGCACCGATATCTCCACGCACCGATATCTCCACGCACCGATACCTCGACGTTCCGATATCTCCACGCACCGATATCTCCACGCACTGATATTTCCACGCACCGATATTTCCACGCACCGATATCTCCACGCACCGATACCTTTACGCACCGATATTTCCACGCACCGATATCTCCACGCACCGATATCTCCACGCACTGATATTTCCACGCACCGATATCTCTACGTTCCGATACCTCCACGCACCGATATCCCTGCGTCCCAATATCCCTAAACCCCAATACCTACACATCGTCCCCAGATACCAATATCCCTATATCCCCCACTCCCAATGTTCCTCTACTTCTAACTTCAAACATTCCTCAATTATTACAGTAATTTGAAGACGTACAAAATCGAATGACATACACTAACACGTATGTATGTATACACGTACATGTTTGTATGTAAGATACGCGACTGTGTCGAGTTCGAACGGTACGTCTCGCCGCGAGGAATCGAGAAAAAGACGATTTAAGAGCAAAAGAAGGAAGCTCGCTGGCGGCGAAAGGAGAAGGGTGCGTAGAAGGCCCTCTTCGGTCAAATTAGCATTTCCATCCGCGGGCACACGATGGCGGTCGTGGTTTTGCCTGGAGGGTAGCGCTAAACGAGCGTACAACGGCAGTCCTCTTCAAGACGAGTAGCCTCGCTGTATATCCCGGCAACTCGTCGTCGCCACCAGACACATCGCTCCTCTTACAGACTCTCTTATCCACCCGGATGACCAACCAATGATTCTCTGATAATATTTATCGCTCTCACGTTTCAGAATTTATATTCGAAATTTTTAAGACTCTTCGTTCATGAAGGGGTGGTTTGCATGGGGTGACAGGAATGATCGACATAGAGGGATTTTTTGGAAACTGTGAACACTGTGTTGAATGGTCTTTTTATTTTAACTCCCGAATTTCTAACTCTTCAAGTTCCTACATTCTTCAATCATATTTTTGTATTACTAAACGAAACAAATCCTCGACTTTTCAAATTCCCAAATTATCAAATGGAACTCCTGGAGTCTTTAAATTCTCAACTTCCTAAACTTTCATATTCTCCAAACATCCACATTCTTGCCCAATTCTAATCTCCACTTTCCAAACATCAAAATTCCAAAATTCTCAAATGACTAATTCATCCAAACCTCAAATCCCGAAATTCCTAAAAGTTCCAAACACCTCAAAGTCGCGAGTAATGCAAAAACCACAAGTGCTAGAGAATTTGCAGAAAATCGCTCGCGATTAGAAGTCGAGCGACGATGAGTAATTTTCTGCAGGACTTTCCGTTGATCGAGTAATTCCAATAATTCGTTGGCAAGCAAGCTTGCGAGCATAGCAGAGCGGGATCGCAGGAATTTGTCAACTCGGCAGAATGCTTTCGATCGGCGAAGGTAGAGGAAGTCTCGCAGGGGAAATTACGGATTCGGAGGGGCTCGAAGAGAGAGAGACAGAGCGTGCCGCCTCGTGCGATATCTTCGTATCTGCTCGGAGCGGTGGGACCCCCGTTTCGCTAATGACGGTCCACACCAATAACCAATAAATACTGGCCCGGTAAAACCGGGCTACCGGACTACGTGCTTATCTCGCCGAAACATCGGCTGCAAGGATTTTCTGTGGCCGTGCGAGAGGTCCTCGGCTATTAAAACTGGGCCCCTCCCCTATCGCCGCTTTCTGCCATCCCCTCTACATTCTACCGAGCATCTTCGGATCTTCTTCTTCTTCTTCTTTCTCTTCCTGTCCACGGTGTTTCAGCGAACGCAGCGTGGAATTTCGTTAGGTCCACAGTCACTGCGCTAACAACGAAGCCTAATCGATTGACCACTCTGAGGGATGATTTCGATTTAAAATCACTGAGGGATGATTTCCGCTTAATGTTCTTTTGCAGAAATTTTATTTTATTCCATGAGACCTTGATGTGCAATCTCTGTCAAATCTTTTGAAAATGTATTCATACTTTCATTCTCATGTTACTCATTTTTGACTACATATTTGAAGTCTTTATTTTTATGAAGAACTCACTTATCCAATGTTTTACTTCTTTGCACCCGAAACTTGGACTTAACGTTTCGTTTAATACAAAATGAATAGATACCTTTTAACTGAATCTACAAAACTACTCATATGATAAACACAATGAAAAAGGCAATTGGTCATAAACAGAAAATGACATCAAAAGAATTCATCAATCAATCAACAAGTATTGGAGCTGCAATTTAAGAATACTGAAAGTCATTTTTTATGAAAACACATGATTTAATGTGCGCGTATGTACGACGTCGATGGAATGTGATGCGTACATAGCTGAGCTACCACGTCACACTTTCGATTTCCATCCTCGTGGACGACCGTTCAGGCTTTCACGGACCAGGCGTCCAACGCGAAGCTGAATGCGTACTATCGAAGACAAACCGTGGTGTCAAATACTTGAATATACATGCAAACCACCTGTCCTGAAGTGTAATTCGTGTACAGTTCATTCACACGTCTTATATGGAAATTGGTTACATAGAAAACAGAGTCTGAGTTGGAGCTATGTGATACAGAAAAAACCCTGTGCAATTATTTAAGGTTCTTTATCCTTCATAATCTTGCAACTTTCTTTTGTCCATGTCATACTAATATATTCTATAAAATAATCCCTTAATATTGCTTTCAACTTTACACATATATTTGATGTATAAAGATAATTCATCTGATTATCAGATAATATTAATAAATTAAAATATCTGTAAATTCAAGTGTGGATATTTATAGCTCCATGAAGTATCACATTTAGCACAAATGTGCTCGATGCACATCTGAATCATCAAAACCCGTAAATTCTTAAAGTATACATTGTAAATGGCGACTCGATGAAACGACGACCAAGTCATCGTGCAATTCACACTTCACCTTTTTCTCCTCTTTCGTTGTCCGAATGCAATAATGTATTAAAATAAAAACGAAAGAAAGATTCGAAAGCTCCGCGTGTAGCGAAACAGGTTTAATGGTCCGTAGCTTCGTTAACACGTATCATTTAATACCATAATTATTAAATATTATTTGCGAATCATATACAATCATATCATTTGCGAAAAACCAGCTACTTACGTATGTATGAGAACTTCGCCAATTCTTCGGTGCGTATTTGCTTAATTTATTCTCGGGATCGACGAACAGGTACTCGCCGTCTGAAACATCGAAAAAATACAATAATTAACTTCGATTATTAACGAACAATTTATACTCTCGCGCGTTTAATTGGACAATTTTTTGTTTCGAGGAAACTTGACACGTTTAGCGAAATTAAAAGTTTCCAAATTCACGAGGTTGCAGAATCATAAATTCGGGGAATTTACTATATTGACTGAAAAATTGAGTTCTTCCGCAAATTGAAAGGGAAATACCAAGAACAATCAGTGTTGGTATCGCGTGAAAAGTTGCAACCATTAAACGAAATTACTGTCGCTCATTCCAGATTGCAAAAGAAACCCAGATAAAAACTATAACAACGATTGCGACATAAATGGTTAAGGTCGTAAACAATGAAATAACATCTTTGGCAACATGGTTGCAGGCTCGTGTCGATACTTCAACACCGTCGGTAGAGCCGACACTTCGCAAAGAAATTTTTCCAACGACCTCTTCTTCCCTGGCCATTAAGCATCAAGAAACCGAGTCCTTAGTCATCCTCGTCGGCTGACAAATTAATTTTATCGGCGTCGACGGTGTTTCTTTATTATAATCGCGGGCCAAATACAAACTGGTTGGAACGACAGGCCCGCGACATTCGAGGGCCCCGGTCGGGCCAAATGGGCCCGTACAAGGGCCGCACATATGCGTCCACGGTGCCCCGATATGGTCGTTGCGTGGAGCTCGAAGACCCATTCTCCTCGCTCGACTTTTTGCACGGCTGATGGTCCGAAATGCCGATACCCCTAAACGAGCGAAACAATGAAAGAGCTTGTCGGCGAGAGGAGATGTTCGTGAATGAGAGGGCCCCCAAACCTGTCCTGCCCACATGGGGCCAGACACTCGGCTCCCAGACCCTCGTGACGCGACAACGCGACGCGCTTTCCGAACTGGAACTCGATCTCGAACCTGGAACTGGGCCCCTTCGCGACGATCTTAGCCCCCTCTTTAGCAAATCTTAGATTCTTTGTCAAATGACAGATCTTTCGTGTTAAGGAGACTCTTTGATAACTCCAACTTTGACCGGTGGTTCAAGGTCATTCAAGGTCGTTCAAGGTCAACGGAGGAAATTTCGAGATTTTGAGGTTCTTGGAGATGCCACAAATTTGGGGTTTTAGGAATCGAGAGATTCTACAGAGTTTGAGGTCGTACGGATTTGGAGATTTTACAGAATTCTACAGATTTAGGAATTCAAGAGTTTGAGATTTACGAATTTAGAGATTTGGAGTCTAAAGACTTAGGGACAGGATTTAATCTGAAGAATTGAAGGATCTAGTGATATTGAAATCTAGATTGGATGGTCCAGGGATATAGGTATCTAAGAAAGTTATAGGTCTACAGATATGGGCATCCAAGACAGCTAGAGATCATGTTGAAGTCTAACAATATAAAGATCTACATATTTGAAGATCGAGTAATTTGAGGATATTCATGTTCATAGACTTTAGGATTTGATAGATAACGTAGACCAAAATGTGTGAACTTGACTCTGTGTGACAAATACGAAAAATTGAAAACTTCAAATGCTGTTAATTCATAAAGTAAAAGACGAATGGACAATGATCCAGAAATGTAGAAGTTTTTGAACTTCTAGATACAAAAATCTGAAAATTTTGAGAAGCGAAAGACGATCGAAGTACGTGTCGTTATCGAAAGGAAGCTAACGTTGCATCCGAGTGTACATACAGCATGGAATCATTATAGGTTACGTTTCAAACATCTGCTCCTCAATAAAACTCCACATCGTGAAGCCGGTCCGGGTAGTGTCGTTCGTGTTTCTCGGAGCCGCGCCTCGATTCTTCTCTTCCTCTCTCTCCTCTTCTCTTCGTCTCCTCGTTCTCTCTTCCTCCTGTTTATCGTTCGTCTCTCCCTGTTCCTCCTTCACGAAGCAAGTAGGAGTCGAGGATTCTCGGACACCCTGTATTTAGCATATTTCGATTTGCCCGAGATACACCGAGCCGTCCACCTCGACGACGTCCGGTGCCACGTGTGGCATGCTGCCTTTCAGACACGAAGGAGCGGATCGAGCCACATTCCGCGGTGGAGCCGGCCAAGGATGAAAGAAGAAGGAGCCGGGGGGATGTAATGCACTCTCCGCGGCGAAGAGGGCCGCAACCTGGCCCTCGTCGACGTCTCTTCGCTTTCCTTTCTGCTGCCTTCCTTCGGACGTGCAAGAAGAACGGGAAGAAGGGAAGGGATGCAACGAGGAGAACGAACAACGACGCCAGGACGACCAAACGAAAAAGCATACGGAGAAAAAAGAAACAGGAGGAGGATGAAGAAGGAAGGACGAAGGGATACGAAGATGAAGGAGCAGAGGAGAAGAAGGTTAGGGCAGACGGCAGAAAAAGAAGGTTGGGGGTGGCGACCTAAGAAGGTCAGAACATCGTATTTCTTGCAGCAGCCAAGAGTCAGCAGCGTCATTAACCCTCGCATGACGATGCCTGGGTCACTTCGGACACACTAAATGTGCTAAGTTTTACTTAGAACCGCCGAGAAGATCTACTGTTTATCTTTCCGAGTGGTTCGAATTTTTAGGAAATCACTGATACACAAAATTTGAGGTTCAAGGTTGAGCTAGAAATTTTTGTGTGTAGAGATTTGAAACAAATTCCGACACTAACGCAGTAGTAATCTAATGTTTCAGAAACCAAGACCCCGACCTAATCATATAACTTCCTGTCCCTACTTTAACCTTCCCCGAGTCTCCTAATCCTCCCTTACGTCATCCCCTACCATTAGATTTTTGATCCCCGAAAATCGTGAGGAATCGGTAATAGACGGATGTATCACGTGGTCAAGGGATCGAGAAAGTCGTAAGTCAGCCACGAAGTTCTTTCGTTGCAGATCTCTCCCTCCGTAGCCGAGGGCACCTGTGTTACCCGAGGTATAACCCGACCATTACCGGGGAATGTTGCCCGAAGGCTAACCCTGGCCCTCGTGTAACCAACCATCGGGGCCCATGGGGTCCATCTTATCCCACTAGAGATTCCCTCCAGTCACGGACCAACCAACATCTTACGTCGTTCTCTCTCTTCCCTTCGTCCTCCTTTTTGTCCGTCTTTTCGACCCATTCTCTCTCTCTACTTCTCCATTCTTCTTTTCTATTTTTCACCGCCTTTCTTTCTCTATCCAACTACGGTTCCTCTTTTTCTTCTTCTCAATCGCCACGCCCAGAACGAGCCTAGGCAACGTTCTTACTTTTTTACGAGCCTCCGCGAAGATGCAAGAAACGGAGCAACGGAGAGACGGAAAAACGTTGTCACGGGGTCTCGCAAGACCCGACGATCGAAACATCGTAAAACGGTGTAATCGTGCCAATTCAGCGAGGGTGTTCGAGGATTCGGATAATTCGGCCGGTAAATGGTTGACGCGTTTTACCCTTTCTGACAGATATTTGCTGTCAAAACAACACATCATGTTGATTGTGTTACTTCAAGTTTCACATATCATTTTTAATTTACAATTTTATCGTATGTTTTCAGAATTGAAAGTTCTAATATATGATGCTGAATTTACAGTTTCATCATATGGTTTTGAATGTACAGATTCATCATATGATTTTGAACATACAGTTTCATCATATGGTTTTGAATGCACAGATTCATCATATGGTTTTGAATGTACAGATTCATCAAATGATTTTAAATATACAGCTTCATCATATGATTTTGAATGTACAGATTCATCATATGGTTTTGAATGTACAGATTCATCATATGATTTTGAATATACAGATTCATCATATGATTTTGAATATACAGTTTCGTCAAATGATTTTGAATATACAGCTTCATCATATGATTTTGAATGTACAGATTCATCATATGGTTTTGAATGTACAGATTCATCATATGATTTTGAATATACAGATTCATCATATGATTTTGAATATACAGTTTCGTCAAATGATTTTGAATATACAGCTTCATCATATGGTTTTGAATGCATAGATTCATCATATGATTTTGAATGTACAGTTTCATCATATGTTGTTGAATTAACAGTTTCATCAAGGTCTGAGATCTGAAGCTTTATGATATGATAGTGAATTTAAAGTTTTGTCATATGCGTTCATACTTGAAGTTCTAACATATGATGCTGAATTTACAGTTTCATCATGTTTTTAGAGTTCAAGCTTTATCACAGGACTATGAGTTCAAAGTTATATCATGTACTGTTAAGTGCAACATGACTGAAATGTCATCAGTATTCAGATATAATTAGTGTACACATCTAGCAGACTTCTTGAAAAATTTCAAAACAAAATGTGTCTGTGATACAACCCCTAAATCTGTTCACAAAGTGAAGTGTTGTATTTAACCTTTCTGATGTTTGAGTATAGGACTTGTCTCTCATGCTTGAATATAAACCTTGAAAGTTTCTGATATCTTAACAAAAATGAACACCACCAAACATGCAGTCATTTAACAAAGTCTGTGACACCCTACATCTGTTCACAAAGTGAAGTGCCTTCTGCAACCTTTCTGATGTTTGAGTATAGGACTTGTCTCTCATGCTTGAATGTGTACATTGAAAATTTCTGATATCTTAACAAAAATGAACACAACCCATGCAGTCATTTAACAAAGTGAATCTGCGGATGAGTGAAAAATGAAGGGAATATAGTAGGTTGCAGCGGTTTGATGCAGCGGAGGAAAAGAGTATTTGGCCGTGGCAGGGATTCGCGCTTCACGACAAGAAAAAACCGCGAACGAACGATCCCCATAAACCCGTCGGTTTCCCAGAAAGAAACAATGTTCCCTCTCTCATCCCGTGGCGCAGCAATGCGCCATAACCGTAATTACACCCGTAATCACCCCTGATTGCTGAGAGAGGGCTCCGCTCTCTTCTACCTTCGCGCTCGCTATCTTTTGCACGAGCAACATCATGTATACATATATACAACGCTTTTGCCAACGAAACACCCAGCCTTTTTCGTAGAATCGACAAGTTGGCTAGCGATCGTGGAAAATTAGTCCTAATGAATGCTAAACAA